CGGCGGCGGGACCCGGCCCCAGGGGGCGGTGGCGGTGCTGGGCGCTGGCGCTAGGGCCCCCGGCACCACCTCCTCCGGCGCCGCTTTCTCCGCGCCGGGATTATCGCCGCGCTTTGAACAGGGCCCTGGACCATCTCTCCGCCATTTGCCCCCCGCTCCTTCCGTCACTGCGCTTCCCACACTCGCCGCCGCCCGCAGCCAATCACACCCCGCCTTACTCAACCGACCCGCACGCCGCCGCGCATGCGCCTCCCCGCGCCGCTGTCACGTCAGCGCGCGTGCGCGGCCGCGCAGGGTGCTGCTGGGACTTGTGGTTCCACGGGGCGGAGCCGCCCTCACTCGGAACTGGGAGGGCGGTGCCTGGGGAAAGCTGCTGCTCCCGGCTCCCCCTCCCCGTGCTGCTTGTGGTACAGTCCGCACCGCCCCCGCCGTTGCCTGGGGTAGGGGAGCCCCGCTCAGCTGCTGCTCTAGTGCGTGCAGACGTGGCCGGAATGTCAGTGCGCTTGTAGGCGTGGAGGGCGTACCCCGCGCTGGACTGGGCTCCTTCGGGGCGGGCAACGGCCGGGGCTCCGGGCGGCCAGGTGGGGGCTGCGACGTCTGTTTTCTTCCCTCTGGAAAGGCGACGTCTGTTTGCGGCCTTAGCACCGGGGAAAGCAAAAGCGAGCACCCGCGTTTCCGTGGAGCTGGGGATTCAGAGCCAGACAAGCCTGGGACACTCACCTGCAGACTGTAAAAAATTATATTTTAAAAAAGGAAATTGCAGAAGCACAACTCAGTAGGAGGCTTCACAAGCACCTGCACCGGTTCTGAATAACCTTCAGAAAATGAGCAAGGAGAGAAATGGAAGGTAACTGTATCCTTTAGTGCGTGGTTGAGTGACAACATGAAACAGAGTTAAAATGTGTGCAGACCCGCTTTGTTACTCAGTTTAAAAGAAACCTGATCTTAGAAACAATAGTCGTGCAATTAAGGCACCAAAATAACCTTAACTCCTCTGAAGTAAAATATAAGGCAAAAAGAGAGAGAATATTATCCAACCATATGATGACAATTTAACTGCAAAAATTTCAGCCTTACGAGCAGCTATAGCCTGTCCTCAGAATGCATGTTATAAAAAGTGTCAATGAGGAAGACAATGCCAAAAGCCTTTATTCCACATTTTTATCAAGACATGCCAC